TTGTGAGATGAGATTCTCTATTTTGTTATATAAGCAACCCTATGTAAAGTTTGAGATATACACAGAAATAAAATACTTCCTAGTGTAGTCGTGGACGTAGGCATACATATTTTAGCCGAACCACGTTAAAATTCTTGTGTCGTTTATTTTTCTCTCCTTTATTCTTTCCTTTATTATTGTCTTGTTCCTAACAGTTTGGTGGATTCGGACTATTAGGAATCTCACTATTACCCTGACTATTTGGTGGATTTTGACTCATTATTACTACTCGTCCACTCCTTAGTCTTATACACTCATCGAACTAGCCAGACTTTGTGTATAATACACAATACCCCCTATCTGGCGCGCCAATTTGTTTCTGGTGAAAATTTGATCGATTTCAATCAAATCGAGACTTAGGTTCTAACCAAATCTTAACCACGTATATTCTTTTTATTTAGGCTAGCAAACGGTTTTCAATCGAAAAATGCATGAGAATCGAAAATCCCATGGTTTAAAAAAAATGTAAACAACACAAATTAGTAGCAAATCGAAAGTACTATTTTTGGTATTTTTCATTAAGAGACGCGAAGTAAAGAAAACAGTAAAAAAAAATGTCGAATCGAAAGATAGTGCAGAATATTAAATCGCAGAAAAATGTAAAGTGTGGAAACCTCAAATTTGCATTAAGTGTAAAAGGGCAAAGAATCGAAATTGCAGAAATGTGAATAGCAGGAAATAGAAATTGCAGAAATGTAAATGGTGAGGATCTTAAATGCATAACATTAACTTGCATAAAAGTAAATGACAAGGAATCGAAAGACAAAGCTTAAAGTTTGACAAACGTAAACTGCAATGAAAGTAAATTATCAGAGAAAGTAAAGAAAGCGATAAAGATAATCAATGAAAACGGAAATCCAGAGCATTAGAAACTTCATGATGCGTCGTTCTCCTGTAGACTGTTCACTTGCGCTTCTGTTGTCTCTGCCAATTTCCCTTTTCTTCTTCATGCTTCATTCTATTTATAGGTCTTGCTTCAACGTAACTTCCTAAGAGCAGTTTAGAAAACTGACACCACGTTCCATGTGCACGTACGTTAACTATCTCTCGATTTTTATCTTAGCTGCGGCTTTGAGAAAACCGTTTCCCACGTTCCATGTGTGTGATAACCGTTCCTTTGATCTTGACTTCATCCATCGAGTATTTAAAACTTTCTGGCTTTCCATTTAACTTCATACTCAATACCTTTCATCGATTTTTCTTCCCCATGATCATCGAATTTTCTGTATTTCTTTCGATTCTCGATTTCGATTCTCGATTCCAATTCTCGAATACGATTTCCCTTGACCTATTTTATCATTACCTTCATCGATTTCCCCCTCTTTTCTTGATTTTCGATTCCCACTTTCGATCTACGCGTTCATACTAGCGGTCACCGGGTATCTCCCCACCACTCATGCGATCTTCGATTTTTCTCTTTTATTTTTCGATCCTTGTATCGATTTTCCATAAACACTATCATGATGTTTTGATTTTATTATTTTAAATCTTTCATATTTTATTATGTTATTTATATATATACAAATTGTAGGTATCTAATTTTTACTTTGCAGTACTACAATATCATGTTATTATGTTTAATATTTTAACATCCACCAATCCATATAATCATTTACCATTCTTTTTATATGATCTTTTACTATTCTTCTATTTTACTAAAAATAATTGTTTTATTAACTATTATTAATCTGTAGAAGATTTTACTTTTCACATTAACCAAATTCCTTTATTCCTTTTTCCAAACATCCAAATAAGATCATTTAGAAGCTTATAGCGTGTAATTTGTTTTATTTTTTTTAAAATAAATAAATTTTAAAAAAACTTGGTTACAGAGTAAAATATGATTTCACGTTAAAGAATTCATGTTCCTATGTTGTTGTTTTTTACATAGAAGTAATACGACTTCTTCACATTATTAATTTTTTTCGATATTTTTCGAGGTTGTACTTTAATTTATGACTTTAGCAGATGATTTTTTTTTTAATTGTCTTTTCATCGACGATTTTAATTAAATATATTTTTTTAATATTAAAATTATCAATTGATAGTGAATTTTAATTCAATCTTTTTATACTAAAATCATTGATGAACAATTGATATATATATTATTTTTTTATTTTTAGTTATTAAAAGTTTTATTTTAATATTAATAAAATAATTAATTGATTGATATTTATATGTTAATAATATTAAATAATTTTTAAATATATTAAATTAATAAAAAAATTTATATATTAAGTAAAATAGAAGTTAAATATACCTTTAAAATAGTACAACATATATTAAAAACTTAAAAAGGTAAAAAAAATTATAATAAAAAATTAATTACAAGAAGATCACGTATTGACTTTTCTCTTTATATCTTTTTTTTATTATTATTATTATTATTATTATTATTATTATTATTATTATTATTATTATTATTATTATTATTATTATTATTATTTTCACCTTGTATGATGATTAGATAAAATTAGACAAATAACAATTTATAGAAGGTGTTTGATTATGTGTTGGTAATTGTGTTATTCAGATGGTGATAAACATATTTAATGAAGATAAAAACATATTATATGTATAAGGAAGGGACTCATCAAAATTGAAATTGGTATGATATATTTTGGAATTGACGCATATATTTATAGAGTGAAGGTAGTTGAAAAATAGATAAACAAACATGTGAATATATAATTATGATGTAAATTGTTGAAAAGTTTGTTAGTATATATTGTGTTTAATGTTTTCTATGATGATCATTATGAAAAATAAAATAAAAAAGTAAAATTAACATTAATAAAAATATTACGATATATTTAATATATTATACTTACTTTATTATATATGTATTTTCTAACTAGAAGAAATATATTATTTATTGGTTATAAATATCACTATATATATTACTTATTTTTACTTAAACGATAATTTTCTTAAAATTCAGTTCTATAGATTAAACAATTAAGAGGATCGTTCTATACTGTGATTTAGTTATGATGATAAATTCATCAATATTATTTTTACTTAATACATTAATATTTTTTATTAATCTAATATATTTAAAACTTATTTTATATTATTTACGTCTAAATATCAATTAACTAATTATTTTATTAATTTTATAAATATTAAAGTATAATTTTTAATAATTAAAAATAAACTAAAAGAATTATATATGGAAACTAAAATCTCCGGTTGATAATTTTAATATAAAAAAATTAAACTTTAATAGTAAAAAAATACATTTAAATAAAATTTATAATAAAAAGGAAACTTACAAAAAAAATCTACTAAAATCGTAGATTAAAACACAACCTAAAAAACAATTGTGTGTAGAAAAAAAATCATAATTTGGAGTATAATTTCTTTATTACGAAATTGTATCCCAAAATACAACCTACTCGTATCCAAAAAGTTTTTAAAAAATAATTCATAAAAAATAAATGAATCTAATTATACTAATATGGAAAATAGGCCTCATTTGAACATATGTGAGGATTATGTAGAGATAATATCATTTAGACTTTTGTTAGATCTATATGTTAATAGAAAAATTAAAACAAAATTATTCTTAACTTAAGTATAACCTTTTAAAGTCCACACTTACTTCAAATAGATAAAACAAAATAAAAAAAATGAAAAACATAGTTTTTATAGGATATTTACGTTGATGGATTAGGTTACATTTAATACGTGAAATTACAAGTATTTTTTTCTTAAGTAATTTTTCTCTGTAATCGTAATCTCATATTGTGTTTCTATTTTTTAAAAGTAAATATTAATTTAATAGTTAAAAAAAGTTATTGAGACAAAATAATACCACATATTAGGTTATTAATTCATATCTTCCCTTTTTTGGTAAGACGCCCTCAAACAATTTTTACTATTTATAGAAAAAATAAAACTTATACACTAAGCATTTATATTTATATTTATAATTTAAAAAAAAAACGATTTATTTGTTTTAGAAGTAAGAATTAAATGTTTATTTTTAATTTTTTAATCTAATAATTAAGATAAATTATAATTTTAGATTATTTAAATAAATAAATAAAATCTCTTTATATATAATTCACTTTTTTAATAATAGTATTAGATATTTAAGTTGTATCATTTTCAAAAAAATTTCTGATATAATCTAAGCCTTGGTCACTATCCTCGAGTTAAATTAAAATAAATAAGTAAATGATAAAAATAAATAATAAATAATTCATAAAAAGAAAATTAAAATTTAACTTGATTTAATCAATGATATATTTTTATTTTATTTTATTGTTTCGATTCTTAAATTTTATAAAATCTAACGTCTCCATGATACTACTAAAAAAATTTAATTAATCAAAATATAAAAAGTGTTTATTACAAAAAACAAAGATAGCAATCGAACCTACATTGTGAAATTCTAAAATTTAATAACTTAAAAGGAGTAGAGGATAAAAAAAACACAATAAAAAAATTAAGACAATCCGTAAGTACTTTAACCATTTTGATGAGATAATAGAACAAACTCAAAAGACAAATAAAATAAATTTATCAGCAATATAAACCAACTTCTAAAAAATTATATCATATAACTCAGCTAAAATTTTATCTTTATTCGTAAGAAAAAAAAAACTACTTTTACTTTTTATTTTTTTTAATAGTTGATCCAAACATGTGTGAATTGGTGTAAATAAGGATTATGACTCTATACAAACAAAAGGACAATGCTGAATGAAACCGAGAGATCCCTACACTAGTGATAGATTTTTCAAGAATTTAAGACAATACACTAGCCAAAATAATGATACACAGACTTACACGATATAATGCCATTACATTTTTCTGCAACTCTAGAAATGAGACCTTTTCCTGATTCTGTGCATGCATATGAAAAATACAAAACATTTTAACATCCTAACACTACTTTACATTTCACAGCAATTTCACTCTCCTTCACCTGTTTTAAATTATGAATTTCCTCCCTAAGAGATAGAATGCCTCCTGTGTCTCAATGATGAACCAGATGATTTGGTGTCTCCAGGGACTACAGAAGTTGGACTATTAGAACTCCCTGAAGTCTCTGAACTCCTATTTTCTCCCTGCCCTTTTCCAACAATCCATAACTTATCAAAGATCCTCCTTGACCTTGATGGCAGCAACTGCATGCCACTTCTGCTGTTTTTGCTACTCTTCTTGTTCAGCTTCCCATTCTTGTGAAACTCCTCATCTCTGATCTTCAATTGACACATCTGGTTGTTCAGGGAATGGCAGCTCTCTCCCCCAGTTTTCACACACTCCTCATCTCCATTGACCAGTGCCTGTGTGGAATCGCGTGTCCGGACATTGGTGGCAGCTCTGATCTGCTCAAAATAAAGAACCTGCACAACGACTCGAAGGGGAAGGCGTTCGTTCTGTGCTGCATGCATTGATGCATCCACTGTCAATTTCTTGACATCCATTAAGCCACATATCTTTTTCCTGTCACCTTTTGTCAAACCTGGGTGCTCCTGAAGATGAAAAACTCAACTGAGTACTTCAATGTCATTAATTATAGCTAAAGCTTACCAATTACAAGATTGTCATTTCCTAGTCCTTACAAAATATACACATTATTAAGTATCACCAATTAGAGTAACAGTAGAAAACTGCTAATCAAATCAAATAATTTTCTCCAAGGAATCAAGGATAGAAAGGATGAAAAAGGAGACTGTCAATTAAGCCATCCAAATTTTTTCTCATAGGATGATCGTGTGCTTCCCGTCTAAAAAATCTTACCTTCAAATAGATGTCTATAGCCCTGTACAGACCATCATGATTTGGTTTAGCAAAATCCGGAATTGACTGTGACAAATCAACAAAATTGGAGAGGCTGAGATTTGGATCATGTGCAATTTCTCCAAGATAACCATCTACCAACTTGCCAACATTCAATAAAGACCTCTGTACTAAAATAGACTCATTTGATTTATCTTTCTTGTCCTCAACCTCCATATCATGGCTTCCCTTTACGTTAGTCATGTACAGGTTCAAAAGATTTTGCACCAGATCAAAATCATATTTGGTGATCTGAGGAAGCCTTGCTGGAATCAGTAAATCTTTGACAGAAGCTTCATGCAATTTCAAGGCAATGTTCTTCATCAATTGTCCCCTCGAAGACTCATCAGCTTCAACTAATATGGCCACTTTCAATAGCTTCAGCAAGAAACTACATGAACAACCCATGCCATTATCACACGGCAATAAACAGACAATTGTTTCTACAAGAGATTTGTTCCTCCGGGCATGGGCATCGGAAACCAATGCATCAACAGAATCAGGCAACCATCTTACAACATAGATTTTTAGTGCCTCACCAATCACAACTCCATCCATTCTTCCCTTGGATTTGATGGTAATCATGACCCGTTTATATAGATCAATGTCCATCTCACATATATCTTCAACCCACCAATCCTTGGGAACAGGCTCAATTTTCTCTTGTGGTGCTATCTTGTCCTCAACAATTTTATCAAGCTCTGATAATTTCCGGTTACAAGTGTAAGACCAAGTTATGTTTGCTGGGTCCACAGAAGTTTTGGATGCTATGGAATCTATGCATCTCCCAACTATCTTTAGGTCCTCAGACCATGGCAGAAGAGATTTAGTAGTTTGGAGAACAATTATAGAATCCTTCCAGCTACGAAATATACTCGAGGTAAGAAACACCTCAATTTTAAAAACTAAGTTCCCTTTCTCAATATCCTCAGTCATTTCAAGGTACTCAGCTGCACAACGAGCAGCCACAACATTGTAAGCATTAAGAGTAACAGTCATTCCATAGCAGAACTTTGCACATATTTCAAAGGCCTTGGGACCACCCGGAAAATCATCCAATTGAATTTCATCAGAATACTCTTCATTAGCCTTTGACAGCAACTTTTGTAAACGATTACTCTTGGACAGTAGAGGGAACTAAAATTCAAGAAAAGTCATCATCAATAAACAAAAGGAAGAAGCAAAATGTAGTTGAATCTCAATAGTTAAAAAAAAAGACACAGAAATTATAAAAGGAAATGAAAACTCTGCATAAAGTAAAATACACACTAGAGTAGCGGAGAGGTCTTATACTCAAATTCGGATTTTCTATAACCTTTCCATTCAGTTCAATCGAAAAAGAGTGAAACATTACACTATTAAATGGCAAGAGATGAAGTTGTGATTAAACTTACCTCCCCTAACGGTTGGGCTCATTACACTTGAACCCTTAATGTTCGAAAATTCACTTACCTCCTCACTCGATGTACAGTTCTCTCATTCTGACACCCTTTTTGTTTAAAGAATTACACATACCTACCCACTCACATGTAGGGACCATATACAAAGTCCCCTTAAAATAACAACACAAGGGAGGCATGTGTAATTTCCAAAGAAAAGGTAGCAGTGCTATTATCACTAATAACTAGGGGTGATAATTGTAAATATCCCTTACTAATTAAGGTTTTCTTATTTAAGAGGGCTATAAAACAAATATATCTAAAAAAATACATACCTTGTGTAGATGAAACTTCACTTCATCAACAGTTATGATAATATCTGTAGCCAATTCAGATGATATATACCTGCAAACATTGGAAATGAATTGCTTAGCTTATAAAGAAGGGCAAATTATTCAAGTGGTGAAAAATATGACACGAAGGGCATCACTGAACCCTCACCCCAAAATATAATGAAGCCATATCCAATGTATGCATGCAAGATCATGTCACATCATCACAAAATTATGGCAGAGAAATTAGTTCAGTCAAAAACTTGCAGCCAGGAGTATTAAACAAAGATGAATGCTGTTCAGCATAATCTGACAAAAAAGTAGTTATGTTTTACATCTTGAAAACAATCATATAGGTCCAAAAACCAGAGAGGTGTAACACATCCCCTAAAGAAAATCTTATACATTATATGCCAGAAATTTTAATATCTGAAATCTCTGATCTTGAGGGATTTTGAAGCACTCAATTTCATTTTCCAACCTACAAGGACAATTCTATTTAGAGAGCAGAAAAATCAACACAATTAAAATCCCAAGCAAAATAACTACCTGGAGACACATGAAAATTAGTATCAACTGTCCATACGTGTTTCTCACTTTTCAGTTAAATACATACATACATCACATGCATGACAGATGACACTTCGTTGTCGCATGCGGTTCACAACAGGCTGAAAATCCACACATAATCAATTCATCCACAAGTGAATTTCTCAAATCTTATCTTCCATACACAAGGTGGTAACAAAAGTATAAGTACACCACTGAAATCACATGCATAATAATAAATATATTATTAAATAGGCTATGCATCATGCTGGGAAGTCCATACACACTTTACCAATATTTGGACCACAAACTAATAAAAAATTTCACAACTCGAATTCAGGACCACCTCTGATTCAATGACTTTTACTCTTTCTTCTTTATCAGTTAAGTTACAAGCAATACAGAATATTAACATTACTTCAGGTTGGTTATGCAGACAAAAATAATGGCTTTCTTTTGAAGGTGTTCAGTAAGGAATCTCTAATTAGAAGTGTCTCAGAAACCACTCAAACGCTTTTATCACCAACAAAATCATCTTACTTCATATTCAGTGGCCAGATAACGGTAACAAACATTAACTTCATTCCTGCGACACAAACAAAACATAACAAAGACTCCAAGAACACATATACATATGAAACATTAAAACCTTAAAATCAAGAAAATCAGATACAAAGAAAGAAGCTAAAAAGAAGAACAGCCAACCTGATAGATTTTCCGTCAGCTTGGAGAGCATCAGGCTTTGAACCCAACTTCATAAACTTCATTTTTTTCCTTTCTAATTTCCCTCTTCCAACCCGCCACAGAAAAAATCTATATAGTATATTATAAACCAAAAAAAAAAACTTTTTTCAGTTTCAGACAAAACGACAAGGCAGACCACCGTTTGGTTAGTTTCCTCCCATGCCAACAAACCCACCAAGAAGCGCGCGTACGCGAAAACGTGCGTGTGAAGTGTACTACTACTTTGTAAGAACACGAAGACGCGATGCTCACTGAACCTTGTTCACAAAGCTGATACACGAAAACTAAAGTGAAGTAAAGTCGTCGTTGGAAGAAGCATTTACGATGATGTGGAAGGGAAGGTTGTGGAAGCGTGTTAGGGAATGGAATGAATTGAATGCGGTGATTCTTTATTTAATTTTTGTCAATTTTGGTGAGAGGAGTGCACGGAGAAAAATGCCGTAAGAGATGGGGAGGTTGTAATGAAAGAAATAAATGGTCGCCGCCTTTGGTTTAAATGAAGGCGATTCGGTGAAGATCTTGGTTGGGGCGCGAATCTCAAGGAATGAAGGAGAATAAGGGTTTGTTTGGTTTGGTTTGGTTTGGTTCGGTTCTTGTGTGTGTGGAAGGAAGGAACGTGAAAGAAGAGCGTTTTGCAGAGTATGACGCGCTTTGGAGGGAAGGAGGAGGGAAAGTTAGAGAGAGAAGGGTGTGTTTGGTTGGTTTCGTTTTGAGGGTAATGTAATGTGTAATGTGTAATGTGCAATGTGAAACAGTGTTGTTATGTAGGGAGTAGGGGACTATGGTGACAGGGTGGCTCAGAGGTACTTTATGAGGTTTTATGTTTATGTTTATGTCTATCTATGCCCAGAAAGCACGCCATCTTTTTCTTTTTACACTTTTGTCCCTTCTCTTTTCTTTTATTCTCTTAACTCTCCTTTCTGCTTTATCATCTTCTTTCTCTCCACACACGTGCCATTCTCCATTTCTAATTTCTATCATGTCATTTTTTTCCTTCACTTTCCCACTTCATTCTCAATGTAATTTTCTTTTGTGTAAAATTAGTAAATTCTTTAGGAAATTATAATTTGTTAAATTAGGTATGTATTAGAACTTTTCTCATAAAAATATTTAAATTTTTAAAATTAAACTTGAATAAATTTTTATTTTTGTTTATTTTAAATTCTGATTGGAACGCAAAAGCGGTGTAGGAAAGGACGCAGAAACGATTTGTTTTGTGTATGATGTGTTTCTGATTATCAGTTTTCTCCCCTACCAACGAAAAAGCGTGGCACTTTTGGCATGGATGTCTCATGTACTTTCCCTTTCCTCATTCATTGAGATGCCACAAAATTCACACTGCATTAGATGCCACTGCCACACATCGTCACTGCTTCGTTTCGTTTCGTCGTTAAAAGGAGTGTAATAATGCACTCTTCTCACACTCTACCAATTGGTTCCCAAGGGTGGTTCCTCTGCTTCAGTCCTAAAACCATGTTCTGGATCTTATGTCACACCTTCACCTTTTCAAATCAACCTTTTTTTTTTAATATTTCAAAAATCATAACAATTTATTTTTTCATACATTGATCTGTGTGAGTTAGTCAATAAATTGGCGTGCATGAAAATGGTGATAGAATAAAGTTTTAGGTATATATCATAATCTCACACTGTCTTATTCTTGTTTAATTTATTCGTTCCATGCATCTCGCTATCTTCACAACTTGTATATGCAATTTGAAAAGGGACGAATTAAGATATTTTGTCCAAATGTATTTACAAAAATTGATTGTTTTTATTGCCTATCAGCGTTCCAAATCAATGCCTCTGTTTATTCCATCTTTTTCATCCACCCAAAAACCATTATACACAATCGAAGAAGAGAAGAGAGAAGGCTTAATTGCAAATTTCACAATTTTTATTATTCAAGATTTTTCACGTATATTTAAAAAAAAAAAGTATGTGTTTATGTAACATCGTATTTCACATTTAAAAAAAATACCAATAAGGCATTTTAAAACAATATTATTTATAAAAGTTCCAATAAAATTATTTAATAATTTAAAAAAAATAGTAAAATATGTAAAAACTAAAAAAAAAAAAGCTAAAACATTTTGATTTATAAAATAAAAAAATATTGAGTATTTTTTTAAAATAAAATTTAAGGGGAAAAAATAAATTGAGTCCCATTTTATTTATCAACATACGAATGTTTTTCCCTTAAAACAAAAATGTATGGCTACATTTTGTCAAAACGTATGCGATAATGAAAAGGCCGAGAGAGAACAGAGAAATTTTACCATTTCAAAAGAAATTAAAATACATTATATTTAATTTTTTAATTTAAATTATTTCATTTTATAAATATTTTCATAAGATAAACTAATTTATTAAAATTTAATTTTGCATGTAAAAAACTTCAATTAATACTAAATACAACAAAATATTTTTAATATTAAATGATGTTAACAAAATTAAAATATCTGTTGATAATAATTTTCAATACACATTAAGCTACGAAAAAAAATCGATTTAAACGAATTATATTATCAATAACACTAATAAGATAAGTTGTAACAATGAAAGACTTTTCAATCAATAACTCAAACGTATGTTTTGATGAAAAACTTTATTTAAAAAAATGAATTGAAATATATAGAAGTTGGGTTACATAGAATTAAATTTCTCTTAAATTTTTAATATCTTGTTTAGTTTAAGTAATTTAAATGTTTTCGATATCAATTTTTCTCACATAGAAAAACTCAAAATTTTTAACTATGGTGATCATTTATTTTCAAAAACTAAAATTTAATATCAAAATTTTATAAAAAATAAACATTAGTCATTCAAACTATTTAATAATTCAAATAATAACTAATATATTTAGCTATTTAAAATAATTATAAATATTAATACTTTTTACATTTTATATATGTGTGTGTGTTAGATGATGATAATAGAAAAAAAAAATAGAAACAAATTACCAACATCCAAAAAGAAAGTAACCCATAAAAGTAGGTTTCACATTTTATTTAATTTTTTTAATTTTAAATTTGCTCTTCATCAAATAACTTATTATTATTATTATTATTATTATTATTATTATTATTATTATTTATTGTAGACACATAAGGATGAGGGTGGATTTAAGAGATGTATACTGTTTGGACCTGGAACAAGTGACGAACACATGCGATTTTAAAAAGAGAAAGAGACTTGTCTTTTTAAAGAAAATATAATATAATATATTATATTTTAATATAATCAATTATATAATATAAATATTTATCACATATTCTATATAATCATATACTTAACCTAATTAGTTATATGATAATTTTTTTCTTTCCATTATTTTAAAATAAGAAATAAAATACGGATAATAACAATTTTTATTTATTTTCATTTTCTTTCCTTTAATTTAAACACTTTACTTTAAACAATATAATAAAAATATTAATAAAAACAAGTAAGATGATTATTTTTTCATAATTCACATATGATTGTTGATTCCAATAATGATATTATGTTTCAATATGTCAAAGTAACTTAAGAGTACCCAAATATAATCATATTTAATTAATCTGTATGTTAATTAATAGAATTATTTAATATCATTTAAATTAAGTAATAAAAAAATTAAAATATAATTTCAATTGATTAAAAAGTATTTTAAATAATATCATTAAATTTTTCATTCGCAATAGAATAATTTTAAATTCTATTACAAATAAACAAATATCAAGTATTTTACATAAGTATTTAATTTAATTTGTTTAATTTTAAAATAATTTTTGAAGAACTCATTTTAAAAATAAGTTAAAAAAGAATGATGTTGATTATTCTACTTTAAAATTTATTTTAAATGAAAAAAAATGACATAACTTAAATTAAGAATTATAGTATAAAATAATGATGATTTCAACAACTTTTTAACAATAAAAAAGTAATATAACAAAACTATTTGTTAACTTTTTAAAAATAAAATAATAAATATATTTTAAAATAATTTTAATAAAACAGTTAAAGACATAAATTGAAAAAAAAATTGTTTGTTTATTTAATATATATATATATATATATATATATATATATATATATAAAGAGAGAGAATATCGTTTATATTAAAAAATAAATAAAAATATAAGAAAGTACATGGAGTCTAATTTTCTTTTCTTTTGGAAAAAAAAAATAAAACTGACTTTCATTTTTAATCCCTTCCAAATTATTATAGTTTTTGTCTTATTTGTTTTGCAATTACCCTTGTTGTGGTGTTGGATGGAACGAAGGTGAAGTTTGTTTGAATTTGAAAGAAGGAGGTTGTTGGATTGAGGTTTCAATCACCACATTCCTTCTTTCCTTCTTGTTGTCGCGGTGGTGGTGGTGGTGATAGGCCTCAAACGTCATATCTCAATCACAACACATTGTGGGAAGGTTCAGAACAAGTTGCATTCCAAGGACACAACACAGGATGAATCAGGATTCCATCCTATTTCTAGGGGCCACTGCATCGCTATTTCTGCTTCCTACAAATTCAAATAAATGCTCTTTACCTTCTCCAAATCTGCCAACTAACCAAATAAAAATAAAAAACACAACTTTCCCAAAATGCAATTATATCCATTTCTCATAGTAAAAAGTTATTAAATTATATTAGTTTTTGAGAGACGAGCGACATGGTCCCAAAAGTATTGTATTTTACATTAATATTAATGATATTAATTTTATTAAATTTTTTGATTTCGTATTTATATATTTAATAATTATTAAATATATATATTTATATATTTATAAATTAACTTTTTTATTTTTATTTTTATATTTATTTATTATTTATTAATAATATACTATTTAACCCCTCAAAAATTAATTATTAAGATCCGATCCTATGATCTCACTTTTTTTTATTAGAATTATTCACGTATTTTTCTTAAGTCTCTCATTTTTCATAATTTCAATTTTAATGCATTAATTTGCGAAAGTATAGTTTATTGTAATTTTTTTAATGAATTCAAATTATATATATATATATATATATATATATAAATCATTAGATATATGATATACAGTTTGAGGACAATACAGGAGAAACAGAATAGATACCAGATAATATTTTATTATTTTAATTTTTTTTATTTTTATTTTGAAAAAATAAATGTAAATAAAGGAGTATAAGAGAGAGAAAAAAGAGACAAAGGATATATAATAGATATTTTATTAAATAATAAAATCATAATGAATAAAAATATCCATTTATACATTAACAAATAGAAACAAATATTTATATTTATTAAAATATTAATATTTTAAAATAATTATTTTTTATTTAATTTATTTTATTCATATTGGACTGAAGTTCATTTTTAGAAATGCCTTCAATCTTAAGAGTCTCTTATCTATTTTTGTTCTATTAATTTTTATTCGATTAACATTTAAATAGAAAAAATTATATTAAATTTAGGGATAATTAAGCTAGGTGACATTTTTTTTACTCTTCTCGCATTTTTTGCATAATATTATTTTTCTCTTATTTAATGTATTATACAAATAATTAGAAATGGATAGCACAAGTAATTATAAAAGGGAAATATTATTTATATAATATTAATAAAAACACTAAATTATATGTGTGTATATATTTTTTATATAATATTTTTTTAAAATATATATCTTTAATTTTTTTTTCTCTCCTTTAAATGTATCACATTTCTCTCATTCATAGTATTTTTTTTTCTTTTTGATGATTAAAAACATGGTTAAAAAAAGGAAATATCCTTCCTGTATAACTAGTACTAATGCAAGTGTTAAAATATAGGTATGTTTACATTTATTATATAATTAAATTTTTATAATATATTTTTACAATTTTTATTTCATTTTATTTTTCTCTTTCTATTTTTTTTATGTATTTCACAATTTTTTTTCATCATTATATATGACTTTTCTTTTTCTTTTTTTTCTAATATTGTTTTTTTCTTCTTCTTATATGTATTCCCCCATTCTTTATCCAGTTATCAAGTATATTTCTTTTTGCAATCACTCGATAAATGTTTAGAAAAAAGGAAATCCCTTTATATATAATATAGTTTTTATTTTATTTTATTTTATACTTTGTTTTTCTTTCCACTCTTTAGACATAATTCACAATTATTTTTCACTTCTCTCTCTAATAATATAAAAAAATAAGAAATTCCCTTTACATATGATATAAATATATATTATAATTTATATAAATGTATATTATAATTTTTAAAAATTATAATAATAATAATAACGTAAGAATTATTATAATTTTTTTTAACAAGATAAAAAAAATACTCGATAATTTCAAAATTTTAATATTATTTTGTTAATTGATATTTTAAGAATGTTTTCCGTATTCATTATAAGATCATGGACATATTTTTTTATTATGCTTTATTTCAAAAGGTTACATTTTCGTAATTAAAAAAATCAACTTTTCTTTTTTATTTAAATAAATATATAGAGTTTTTAAATTACTAGATAAATGTTAACGAACATGTATGGAAATAGAATTTTAAGTATAATACTTCTCAAATGTGATTTTGGGAAATTCAAAATTATATATACTTTGAGAGGTATTATTGTAACATTTATATAAGTGGCAAACAAAAATATAACAAATTTCTATTTACTTTTTTTCTGTTTTGCCACCTTTAGGTGACATGCTACTCATAATTTTTTACCACAAAAACTACTTGAAAATCTCATGAGTAGAATTGATCAACCTCAAGTAATGGATCATAATCTAACTAAATTCAATAATAATTAAGTCAAGTCTAGCTAGATAAATGTTATAAATTTCTCAATCAAGCATCGTAGAGATGAGGCAGAAAACAAATTTAAATTATTTTGGTTAATGTTAATGATTAAAATTTTAAAATAAATTTTGGTGAACTACAAATCACAAATTGTTGAGGTGAAAATTGCAAATAGTGGAAAAATCACAAGAATAAAAATATCTTTGTCAGACAAAAATATATTAAATTAAACATCTTCTTTTTAGCTCTTATGAATACTTGACCTATAAAGCAGGCTATAGTAAATAACAATTAATAAGATAAGATGAGGTTATAAGGACCACAGCAAAGCAAAATGGTCCTCCACATCACATGCATTTGATAAAGACTAACTAAATGCATTGTTTTACCCTAAGATCACAATGTGCCTCAAGGACTAAAGATAAAATAAGATAAAAATATATGCTACAAATTATTCATATTTCATGCTAATTTGTTTGCAGATTTTTTTTATTATTATTAAAATTTGTATAAAATAAGTGTATTGTGAATTTTGTCTTTAAGTTTTATTAAATATTTAACTTTAAAAAATTAGAATAAATTAACATAAAAAATAAGAATAATAGGACAAAATAAAAAAATACAATGAGTAAGATAAACTAAAAAAGAAAAAAAAATAGTGGAAAAATTTTATTTAACCTAGATTTTCAGAGTTTGATTTTTTTTTATCACCATCGTTCAACAATATATTAATATTTCACAATGACATCTATAATCAATTTCTTTTTATATATTAATTTTAATAACCATAATTATAGAAACTATACTTAAGATAATGAAACTTTTAGAGGAAATTTTGGTTGTTTATAATAGTTTTATTGTCTCCATTACACTCTTTTTGAATTTAAATATACATAAAAAAATACCACGTTGAATATTTTAGTTGGGAATAAGAATGTATATGGAAAGGCTGTGACCGGTTTGGTGGAGGTACGTAATGATTGAAGTTTTGTGGATGTTGTTGTGAAGAAGAGCAGAATTTGTGACGTAAAGGTTTGGAGAATTGGTTGATAGAGAATTGACTAAAAAAAAGAAAGATGGTTGAGTGGTTGGAGTCGAAATGTGTTGAAGATGGCGAAGACTACCATTTCCAGAGTATGATGAAGCATGCGATGCGAGTGATGATCCCTTTCCTGCTCACATCTTTTCTCAACCACTACCCATGTATGGTCCCGCACTTACATTTCTCTTCACTCGTTCAGTTGCGCCGATAATTTAAATACACGATCATTTTTATTATTATTATTTAAAGATAAAATCGTGATTAATGTTAATTTTAAAGTGAATAATACTTTAAACATAAAAATAAATCTTAATAATATTATTATAATAAATATAAAATGCTATGAAAATAAAAGACAAATTTTGAAAAGATATACGAACAACAACTATTTGTTTTCCCTCGTAGGCAAAAAAGCAATGTATATTATATTTTCCCTAGCTTCCTTTACAAGTACATACATAAACATTTAAGAGAAAGAGGAAAACCTGCACATTGTTTACGGAACACCTGCATGACCACCACGGGCCAGGGTTTGCTTTTTGTGGCTGGTTTTATCAGACACATTACTGCCCCAGATAGCTTCCAAAATCTACGTTTCATTTATGCATCTAAGGAAGATGACTAGTTAGAGTAAAATAAATTACATAATCTCTATTTTCTCTGTACTTGTTTAATATTTAGGCAATGACGATGAAAACAAATTTGTATTATTTTAAAAATCGAATTGGTCAGTTAAGTCAGTTGAACTAAAAATCAGATTAAAAATTAATATATTATTTTCAAATAACTGATTTTCACTAAGTTAGGACAAAATCGATAAATTATGGATGAAATTTTTGAGTGAAATCGATTATGATAAAAAAAATCAAAATTTGTTAATATAATTTTTTATAAAATATATAATATATTTTAATTGTTTTAATATTAATTGATCAACTTTAAATAATAGTTATTTTATTATATTTGATCTTATTTTAATTGTTTTTCATCTAACTTTCTCTGATATATTTTATATTTATAATTTTCATAAAATTAATCTTTATTATTTTTATTTTTTTATAAAAATATTAATATTAATAAATTTATTATATTATAAAATATTATTTTATTAAATTCAATTTCATCGTCAAAATATTGCAAATTTGCATTTTTAAGAAGCAAGTAATTATGATTTTGAAGGTAATTATTATTTTATTATTAAAAGAAGAAGTTGTTGATTGAATTTTTAAAAGGAAAAATGGTGTTTATATATAGTTTTCATTATATATATATATATATATATATATATATATATATATATGAAGATAAATTTTTTTAGCAAATTATTTTTCGTCTTTTCAGTTATTTTTTATGATATAATCATATAAAATCATAATTTATTTTAATTATTAAATTATTAAATTATAAAATAACAATAGTTAAAAAAATTATAACTCTTATTCTTCAAATAAGTAAATAATATATATTTATAGTTATGTATAAAAGATTATCTTAAAATTATTTTTTAGTATTATTAAAAAATAAAAATGTCATAATTAAAAAAATTAATATGATTTATATATTTTAAAAAATAATCAAAATATGATAAATAATTAATGAAGAAGAAATGAATATGTTTAAAAATAAAATAGAATTTAAAATAATATTTTAAAAAATTAATTATACAAAAAATATTAACACATGTTTCCAATAATAACAATAATAATATTCATAAATTGAAATATAAATAATAATTAATTAATTTAATAATATTCAGTCTCATTATCCTAAGAAACACTTGTTCATACATTTAGTTAGAGATTAATTTTACTCGTGATATTATAATTACTAACCACTTGTTTATATAACGAGAATTGAACACGAATATCTTAATATGATGTTATATAAAATCTAGAAATATCTTTAAATTTCTTAAAATATAAGCATCATCTCCAATAAATATGATTAAACTTTGTTTATAAAATTTAGTCCTTTCTTATATAATATAAAAAAAATTAATTAACATTTGTAATCACATACTATGATTATTCATTTATAGATAATAATGATTATTTTTTATTGCATATATTATTTACTAGTCACACAAAAAGTGTGATAATGAATCTAAAAAATCGTACAAGTAATTTGAGCAAAATAATATAATTTGATAACAAATTTAATATCCATAACCAAATTCACCAATCCAACCCAAACTAATGAAAAGGACTTATGCAAAGAGAAATTTGCTGATATCTTGAAAGTCAACCATGCTATATGATATAATAATAGTTTAAGATTCTTTGCACTTTTACTGTACAATTAAATTCTTAAAATAAGAAGTTATATTAAAACTAATATTTTTAAAATTATATGAAATCTAGATAGTCAATATATAAAAATTAATTATTATATAAAAATATAATATATAAAATATTTATTAATATATTCAATATTATTCATTGAATTTAATTTTAAAAATTAAAGTTTACTTTATTATTTATCATTTTAAAAGATGAGTTTATAATTTTTTTTAAAATATTATAAAAATCAACATGTAAAAAAAAAAAATATATATATATATATATATATTAACATTAAAATAAAATATAGAAAAACAACTAATTTATAATAAATAAATAAATTTGTATCAAACATTTCATAATTTTTATACTATACAATTATTATAATAAAAGTAAACAATTTTTTATTATTTTTTTACTTCAACAAAATTATTGTGAGGTATCTAATTTATTTTTTGATTTTTGCTTTTTTTTTCAATATAAAAATGTCTCCAATAAAAAAAAATAAAGAACAACAATTTATAATTTTTATATTATAAAGGAGTTTGCAATTTATATGTTGTAAGATGAAAATAGGAAAGAAAAGAATACCAAAATGAATAGTAATAAAGAAAAATAAATAAAAATATAAAATAACAAAATATATAAAAATTTGAAGTAAAAATGTAAGAGAAAAATATAGAAAAGTCTCAATATAAAAATATAAGAAAGAAAAAATTGTATAAATAAGAAATTATATGAGAAAATAAAGATGATATATTATAAGTAAAAACATAAAAGATAAAAAATTTATATTTTATTTATATTTTAAAAATAATTTAATATATATAATCAAATTTTAGTTGAGAGTAGTGATTGACCTTCAATCCGTGAAAAGTTTAAAATATTTATTACAACTTAATAAATTTTAATTAGATAATATTTTTATAATATAATAAATATAGAACCATCCCAAAATAAACTATACATATATTGAATATATAAAAAATTAAGATGCACAAAATAATTCAAAATATAAATTCTTTATATAGAAATATATATACATGTATCTATCACTTCAAAAGTAAATAAAATATAAATTTATACTATTTTTAACTCCAGACCTATTTCAAAAGTGTAAAATTTGCTTTCATATAAACAAATGATTATCAATTATTATCACAGTTAAAAATACATACAAAACATATAGTATAAGCTAGTAATTCAATTTAAGCATACAAGATTCAAATGTGAGATAAAAAAAACATAATGCAACTTCAAGTTTTCATATACCACATTACACGCACATACAAACTCACAGTCACATTCACATTACGCAAACACTAGATAACGTTCGGAAGACTAGATATTAAAATAGACATTAGGGATTTGTACCTGTTTCTAAATGATTGTGGGATATCTAATTTATTTTTTGATATCTAATTCGATATATACACAATTTTTTTTCATACACTGCATGCTAAGTCATTAGAAACCTCCTTCAACTCTCACCATTTGATTCTTTCATCTATGTGACTCTAGTGAGCAGTAGAGTCAGGATATTTTCTCGAGTCCCAAATCAATATCTATACATACAACACTATAGAATGAGAATACCCCTTGATAATTCTCATATGACAACACAATATTTTTCAAGGCACATAATAAAATTCAATACATCTTATTTCATGTTCATAACATGTATTTTAATAGCTTAAGCACAAACACATCATTTCTCACTTTATAACAAAATATTATTTTTGTTCTAATTTGATCTCTACCTATTCTTTTGATCATAACTTTTTTTGTAGACATTCTTTTTAACTATTTTTTATTTTATTAGATTTTTTATTTTCAGGGCTTCGATTTGGATATATGGAACATTTAATTTGGAGTTCGTAGCTATTTTTTATGATTTTTCAAAGACGGCTAAACAAATAAAAGAGCTGAGCGAATTTTGAAGAATGAAACCTCTGGCGAAAATTCGTTGGACGAATTTGAAAATGTTGAGCGAATTTCAAGCATTTTTAGCACAATCTTAAATTCGTTAGGCGGATTTGTGATAGTAGCAAACTGCATAATCTGCTCAAAACCTTGTTTCTAATGTTCCAAATCCAATTAATTCTAAACCTTACCCTCCATATCGTAAATCCATTCCTTATTTTAAATCTAAGAGCAATACATTCGTACAAAAGACTATCTTTTTCAATTTCGTATAAATCACTTATACATTCATATTCAATACAATCATCATCAATCAACACATACATAATCACACAATCCAACTTCCTGAAACTTAAACAATGTGACCAAATCACCTTCACAATCTAAATCTTCTAACCTATAGTATTATGAAAATTAAAAAATAACTAAATTTTCTTACATCAAACACAATGTCTTCAAACTCAAAAACTCCTAATTCCCAGGAAGATAGATCTTATTCATAAAAAACTCAAATTAACAAATTGAGCATATCATAATGCTCATAAATTAGCAAAGATTTATTTTTTCACAACAGAGTCTATATGTAAGGTCCTCGAAACTCACATGCAGACTTAAGTCCAAAATATGCTAAAATGGTCTCAAATTAGGAAACAAGAAACTTACTTTATTCAAAATTTTGATTTTGTAGAAATGATCTCATCTCTTCCACGAGCATTAAGGTGTGCTTGGATCTAAAAAATATGAAAGGGAGAATGAGAAAAAAATTAGAGAAAAAGTAAAGAAAATTGAGTTATAGAGAAACGATGATTTTGTGAAAATGAAGTTTAAATATTTGAATGAGGTTATATACTTTCGTGTGCAGAAAAAATTTATATTTTAAATTACTCTTTATATCTTAATTTTTTATATATACACTAGTTTTGGAATTGTTATAATTATTATGAATTATAACTATAACTATAAAATATTATAAATAATAAATTATAATTATAATAATTAATATTTAAAATTATTATAAAATAAGAAATATTATATTTTATAAAAAATTATATTTAATTTTTTTTACTAAAATCAATTCAATCTAAAAAGTAACCGATTCTATCAATTTTTATCGATTTATTTGTTTTATATCAATTTAATTAAAATCCCTAATTTTATAAAAATAATAAACCGATGTTTATATCGATTCTCATCATATTAAATCAATCGATTCTCATCATATTAAACCAACCAATCCAGTTGAATTTTCAAAAACAAGTCATTAAAACACATAAATTTATATGTTTATATTCCCTATCCACCTCCACCCCATTTAATTACTCCTCCATCATCGTCATCATCTCCTAATATTTTATATTTCCTTGAACCATTTGAATATGAGATGACACGTATCCACAATGTGAAGCTACTACGTGCCCTTGGT